TTTTTTAAATTATCTTTGCTATTTGACCATTTCTTTTTTCTTTTTAATATCTTATTTTTTTAGTATTTCATTGTTTTTGTTTGTTTATTTCAGATTTTTATTCCTAATTTTTTTATTCTTTTATTTTTCAAATATTTTTTAAATATATATTTAAAATATATGTACATTTTCTTTTTTCGTTTTTATTTTTTATTCTCTTGCTGTTTGATCTGATCAAATAGCAAAAAGAAAAAAGCATATCAAACAAGAGCTCGGGTCTTAAGAGGTTAAAGTGCCCAAAGTAAAAGTCTTCATTGTGAAAAATCTCCCATTTTAGAATATAAGTAAATGATATAATTCTAAATTGTCGGATCATAATTCATGTGTCATCCCTTGGAACAGATCAAAGAGAAACCAAATGAGTTTATTACTGATGGGTAATTTTTACATTTCCTCCTTGGAACAAATGAAATTTTATCTTAATCTAATAAATAAGCATCACTGTGGGATTTTCCAACATTATTACATTATTTTGTATTTGTTGATTATATTTAGTTTTATTCAAACTAATGCAATGAAGTGAAAAGTATAGAATTTAGGTTTGGTTGAAGTATTCTCAGTCGCTTGGGAACATTTCTCAAATCATCCTCAGCATTTGGAAAAACAGGAAGTGCATTTCTCAAAACAATTCGTACAAACAGCAGAACACCAGGGATTAGCTGCAAAAGGCACTTACTTGCTCAATATCCGTAGTTCAATGGACAAGATTCACATTTACTGTAATTTGTTGAAAGACCATGTCGTTGAGGTACAGAAAGGAAAAGACAGCACGGCATAGCACAAAGAGAAAAAGTAGAAATGTGAACATAGGACAGCCTCCTGAGGGAAAACTGTACATGCAGTGCTGTAGGAATTACAGAGCAGACTTCCTCTATACCTGCCAGGTGATGGTTCAGAAGATGCACCTCATTGGTTGATCTATGTGATGCTGCACACATTTCCCTTCATTAGAGAAAGTCAAGAGGGAGCAACTTACCAATTCAGGACAGATTTAGAAATAAAGTCTAATGGAAATTAATAGAGATATGCTCGACATATGACGACAACTTGTTCAGCCTTTTGCATGTAAAGACTTATGAGGAACTGCTTTTTTGCACAAGTGACCCAATGATGTGAAGACTGAACAAGTAGTTTTGAGAATTTCAATTCTGATCTGAGAAATGAACCAAAGAGAAAAACTTTAAGTAGCAGAAAAATGCAAACACTCAATTAAAGCACCGCAAACCTGTCAGAACAGAATGTGGGTGAATGTCCTTGGTTACTTTACATCGCTGTCAGACCCCCGTTAAAATCCGACGCGTGCCTCTGCTGTCGTGTCTTTGCTCTTTCAAGGAGAGTTTGGAAATGAGAATCCCCAAATCTCGAAGTCACGGATCTTTTGGAGTTCACGCGCTGTACAACCGCCACAGCTACACTCCGACTCTGTCCAGGTCGCCTCAACACTTCCACCGACCAGGTGAGAAGAGAAAAAGAACTGATCCACACCTTAGAAACACCTTTGTGAAGGTATAGAATAAATTCTCCGCTCACATTCTCTCTGTTTTACTGCCTTCCCTCCTTCACCTCCTCCTCCTCCTTCCACTCTCTGGAATAACAAGGGCTGATGCTTTCTCCCTCTTTACTCTCTGGCAACAATGACACCTGCCCCACTTCTCCTTTATGTCACCACTTTCTCTCTCAAACCAAAGGTAAGACGCCCCCGCTGATCGTCCACCCTTTGCCTCTTTTCCCCTCTCCCCTCATTCGACTGCATGCTTGATAGAGAACAACCCATTTTCCCATCAACATTACAAGGAACTGTGAATGCAGAGGTAAAATATTAACGTCCACAACATCCAAATTACAAACAATAAACTGGCTCAAGGTTCAGATTTGACATTTACAACAGAGAAGGAGGCACTGAGCCATCTGCTGGTCAAAGTTCAGAGACTGCAGGCGTCAAACTAGTCGAGTTCACACTATGAAACAGGACGGTTTCAGTTCTCAGTTTGCATATTTTATTATTCATGGAGCTGCTTTGATTGACTGGATGAGTGAATATTTCTGTGCTTCTTCCCAACTTCACTCGCACATTCCTCCTCAGCCTATTTATAGCTGTGACTTGTTTCAAAGCCCGTTTTTATCACGTGTGGATGAGATATGACGACCAGTAGTCGGTGGCATGTGTTTTTGATGTGAGCTGAAGACTCACAAACCGTTAACAACTCATAACGGCTCTAATTTATGCATCCGGTCGTCGGGACTTTATTTCAGTCTATTAGTCGGTCGATTTGAAACATTAAATGTAATGAGTGACAGAAAGCTATGCTGTCATGTCTGAGATTCCACAATGACATAAATTAAAATACAGACTCGATAATCTGACTCTTAACAATCTGAAAACCTTTCTATCTGACAAGTTTTTGGGAAAAACGAACAGAACACACAACAAACAGCCTTAACATACCGACAGCCTTGGATTCCGACTCCAACATGACATTTTATGTCACAAATAAGGATAACCGCGTATTATCTGACTGAACAATCCGACTGATTGGATACGTTCAGACTGCAGGACTTAATGCTCAATTCAGAATTTTCTGTGAAATCGTTTTTTTTCCGAGTTTGTTCACGTTTCCAATTAAATGCGACTTGTGTGTGATCTGCTGTGTGAACTTCATACGACCCAAAAGTGTCCCGCATGTGCAGAAGAGGACACGATGACGTAACACACAGTGAGCGAGCTCATTGTTTGCGGAAGGTGGCGCCACCAATGTTGGAAACAGAACTGTGACCACTTTCCAAAGCTGGCATCAGCAGCCAAGTACTTCCTGTGCGTTCCAGCCACTTCCACCCCGTCGGAGCGCTCACCCGGGGTGAAAGTGGTCCCCCAGACTGCGCCAAATATTTGGATATTCATCATTAATTGGGCCTGAATATCCAGAGACCAGAAAGTGCTATTGGGACCAGCCCTACTAGTTATTATAACAACTATGAACAATAACTAACAACAAATGAGCCTTCAAGCATCAAGCCCTCCTTGTATCTCGACCTCCGTCTTGACAATCCGACGGCCTTGCTATCCGACATAAAAGAAGGTTTTACATTTAGTGTCGGATTATTGAGTCACAACTGTATGTGATATTTTCCTGATTTTAGTAATAACAGAATTTATTCATATGGAACCTTTAGAAATCAAAATTAAGAAGTCATGACATTAAGAACATCATAAAAAAAATACAGAATACAGAAAGCTTTTATTGCCAAGTGAGCTCACACACACAAGGACTTTGACATGAATAATGAAACTGTGGAACTCAAGAAGAAGAAGACGGGCAATAAATGTAGAAATGTAAAAAATTAAAAATGAAACATTATATGTAAAAGAAAAGTATAAAAGTACTATGTAAGTAAAAGGTACTGTATAGAAAAGACATAAATTTGCCTAAACCAGAGTAATAAATTAGAAAACAGTTTAAGTTACAGTGTTGCACATGAAACTGGAAATTGCACACGTAATGATATTACAAGAAGACAAAGATAATAAGACAATATAAGACCAAGAACCTAAGATCCAACAGGATAAAAAAATGCAATTACCATCAGTTAAGAAAAACAGAAATGATCAAATGAGTTTTTAAGAGCATATTTTAAACAAGATACTGAGTTTACATGAGATCTCCAGTCAGATGAGAATGAGGATTGCAGATGTAGGCAGAAGCCTGAAGATTCAAGGCTCCAAAAACAAGCGGTAAAATCTTAAAATAATTTCTAAGACTCCAGGTAGGCGCTGAAGGGCAGCAAGGATTGCTGTGAAGCGGCTGCTGCTTCTCTTTGTGTGAATGTGTTAAAAGCCTGGCAGCAGAGTTTCGCATCAGCTGCAGCGTTTGGATGTTTGGCCTGCAGATTAGAGTTGAGTCGAGTCTGCAGAAGCAAAGATAACCTTGTTTTTTTTTTGTAAATCTGCAGGAGAATAGAATGAACAGATCTCGAGTTGGAGCTGAGCAGAGCAGGACATTTAAGAAATGCTTTTTGCACTTGTTTTTTTTTTCACACTGAAAAAATTCTGTTCTTTAAACCAAACATGGAAAAATCAGTGATGTTGTAAATCAACCAATTATTTGAATGCATTTTGTTGTGCAGTGTTCAATCAAAATTGTATGTTAGGTTGCCAAATACTGACCAAAGCAAAAGAAGTGATTTGAGACTCCACAAGTGTTTAACTGTCTGCTAACTCTGCATCCTTCTCCATCAGCAGACGAAGGCTTCAACATGTACAGGAGGCCTCCCATTTATAAACAGCAAGGTACAGTGTTCACCTAACCTTTTGAAATTCATGTTAACAATAACTGAAGCATTAAAAGTCCATTTTAAATCTCAGTTTTGTTGCTCTAAAGAATATATTTGCATTTTTGAACAGTTCAATGTTAACACAGCTGACTGATTTCCTTTGTTTGAACCAACCTGTGCAACATGACATTACAAGGAAGTTAACAATTTGGTGACGAGTTTTTGATCATAATCTAAACATAAATGTAAAACATATATATCTTATGTAAAATGTATAAACAGAAATAGAAGAACTAGAGCAGCACTGAGGTAAAACAATTGGTAAAAGGCTAAGAGAAGAACTTGGCAGCTTTTGTTGCTCTCAGTGAGTCGATACTATTTCAGTCAGAGCTCTGGTTCTGTCTGTACGTCGTCTCATGAAGAGCTTATCTGTCTGCTGTTTCACTTTTACTTAGATTCCAATTCCTCCACGTCCCAGACGTCCTCTTTCCTTGGTTATGGTCACAATGAGCTTAATCTGGTAAGAACCACATCATTAATACCTAATTCACTCTACAAAAATACTGTAGAAATCTATTAAGTGTCAGTCTCTTGTTTAATGAATTTGTGGATTTGGTTTAAATACACATATTTATCGAGTATCTCTACAAACGCTTTAAAGAAATTATATGTGGATCATTTATCCAGTGCACCTAATGAACAGCTTTGAGGTATTACTACTGTGAAAACTGTTTTTCTTTTTTTTTTTCCTCATTAAGCCACAGTCAGAGTTTTCCCACTACAGCGATGACAGAGTCAGAGGTGAGTATCAGACACCTCTGCTCTTTTTCACCAGTGCTGTTAATTATTGCTGTTTTAAGTGGATGATTCTTTACACATTACTTATATTTTCTTTGTGCTTCATCCTTTGCCTTCAGATTTCAAGGTATGTGACAGGAACTGAATGGATGCAGATTTGACTCCTTGATCCTTGTTTGGTTTGTTGCATTTCCACATGACTGAACTGATCAGTGTGCATATGCCTGTTTCCAGAAGTAAACAGATTCAATTCCTGGTTTTATTTTCATATGTCTTCATTCATTTTTATATTCTACTTATTACATATTCAGCTTTGTCTCAGAAAAACACATGTAATCTGCCAGAGATTAATCCTGCCACAATGTCTTCCCATCGCATGTGTTTGCTTCATTCTGTAGCTCATCCTCGACTGCCAACATCTATTAACACGACTGGACAGAGGAGTGTCAATGCCTAATTTGCTGGAACCAAAAGCAAGTATCTGCAATGTCACTGCAAAGACTTACCACCATGTGTACACACGAGCTCGAACTAATGACACAAGTAAATCTTCAGGTTAATACAGAGCGCTGCAGATTCAAGGACATTTCCGTCATCACACTTCCTTCTATATGTGAAAGTCTTTTGACAAAAGGAGAATAGAACTATAGACTTAGACTATCCATGACAACTGTGCAGTACCTTTACAATACACGGGCATTATACTTGCATGGTACATGATGTTCTAACGTTAACTCTCATGTCAGTAGCTCGTTGTCAAAGATGGTGTTTAGCATATGTGATAGTCAACTTATTCTCAGCCAGTCTTCTTTGTTTCGTCAAGGTCTACCCATATGAAGTTCTTGCAGTTACCAACCGAGGACGAGTGAAGCTTCCCAAGGATGTCGACAGAACAAGACTTGAGGTAGGTTAAAGTCTGAGAAAAGGATTCATACAATGTGGCACAAGTTAAGATTTTAGTTGGATCCAAACCAAAGATGGAAATAAAGACTTTCTTGACGTTGGCATCATGTGTCACGACTAAGAGGTTAAAAACAGGATATGAGGGCACTTTATTCAGTCAGAACTACAGTACGAGTTATGTTTTCGAATAATTAAAGATGAACTCTGCAGCTATTTCCACTGTAATGTTTTTTTCCCTTCTCTCCTGCTTTCAGCGTCACCTATCCCCCGATTCATTCTTCGAGATCTTTGGCATGGAGATTAAAGAATTTGACAGACTTCCCCTTTGGAAACGTAATGACATGAAGAAGAGGGCAAACCTCTTCTGAAAGATGCCATAACGCAGACTTTAACTCTTCTCTTGATATGCAGTATACAAGTTCTGATTAACCTTTTTGTTTATTTCATTGCATTTAGCACAACAAATAGCACTATTTTACCTGAGAACGAGACAGATCACAACTTTCCAGGGACACAACACTGTGTTTCCTGTGAGTCTCTGTAGACTGGAACACCTCAGAACACAAGAACTCATCTAAGCTCGGGTGATAGAGACACATTATTCGTGTAAGTCAGCTCTGTGTCCCCATTAATTATGTTCATATTGGACAAGTCATCTGTATACAGTTTATGTGCTTTGATCGTAAATGCAACAGGTAGTTGAACATTTATGTAGCTTAGTGAAAAGTATGAAGAAACAGCAAACGGTAATGTGTTCTTTGAGGCTTTGCATCTTGTTTCAAGCCAACAGCTAATGTTGACTTTTACAGTGAAGACAGTGTTTCCCTCATCGAACATTAAAGAACCCCCTCTGGTGAAAATCAAGTTTGTTCTTTTACCCTGTGACCATGTCCATATGAGGATTTTGATACGCTGGGAGACATATCATGAGTGAAATGAGAAGTCAACATCATGACTGAGAGTTTCCATCCTAAAGCTGAAGTGTTTCAATGACAATCTCAAAAACACAGATTCAGACTTCTGGGGGTTTTTTTTTATATGAAACAAACCTACGGAACCAATCCTGTCAAGTTTCTGTATCATTTCAGTTCAGTTGTATTTTATTTTACTTACATAGCGTTAATTACAGCAAATGTCATCTTGAGGTACTTAAGGTAAAAAGCTTACAAAATAATAGAGAGAAACCAAACAAATCCAAAGTTTCCTTTGGATTCCCTGAGTGGGGAGAAAAAACTCTCCTGTACCAGCACTGAAAACCCTCCAGCAGAACCAGGCTGAGGGGGGCAGCCATCTGCTTTGACCTTTCAGGGTTGATGGTAAGAGAGCAGGATAGCAAATGGAGACGAGACAAACAACGTATAAGAAAACAATAAACTCTTTGGAGGTCGGTGAGGCCAGTAAGTGTGCATCAGAGATGTGTAGTTCCAGATTCAAAGATACCTGCAGAAAAGGCAAATCACAAACTACGGGAGAGTGAAGGCACCAAGTTAGTGACATGTGCAGAGAGTCAGACAGGAGAGTAGAGCAGAGGTGCATCATGGGAATCCAGGCCTGTAGTCTAGGCCTCAAGAAGCATTACAAACTTCTTCAGAACTAGCTTCCAAGTCGAACATGTATGGCTTAATTAATCCAACATTACAACTTGCCATTTTTTAGCCAAGACAAATGAGCTAGTGTGCTCTAGCTGCAGCGAGCAGAGGAAGAGAATTACATCTGAGGCATTTTAATGTACACAGGCTTAAGTTCATGGAAAAACTTCTAAATTTGCAACTTTGACACACAGAGTTGAATTTTAAAGCGTTAAATCACCACCAGAGTGGAACGCTAATCTTCATTTAACTAAAAAAAATGTATTTGTTATGTTTGGACTCCACTGATGACGTGATCATCCATCATTGTTTAGAAATGCTTGTGCAAAACGTTGGTTTATATCACTGCATCACCACTCAAACGGACCTAAAACAACAATTTCATCAGTGTATTTATGTGTTTACTTTCTAAAAAAATAGAGAATCACTGATGAAGTTTGAGATTTGATCACTGATGGTGAAGTCAAAGATGTTTGTGTCAGCCTTTGATCACTAATACTTCCCCCTCTCGAGTAATGCTTTGATCGTGCTGTCGTGATTGTGTAGATGAACTCCACATAAACCTTCATCAACATGTTTCTGAGACAAGATTTTAAATGATTCACTGAAGGACTGGATGCTTTTCAATGTGATGCTATATTTTATTGTTTGTTACTTATTGTACTGTCTCCTGGGTACACAAATTACATCTCTGAGCATATAAAGAAAAGAAAAAAGTTCAAGAATTGTATTTTGTGTTCGTGGATTATCACTAAAATGTGCTTAATTGTGTAGTCAAAGAAGCTTATTTTTGCTATATTTCCCCCCGTGGTAAACGTCACATCGCTGTTACTCTCCCAGCATTCTAAATAAAACCTTTCACCTCTCACAAGTTGAATAAACACATGCATTTTTATTGTCAGAATAAATGAAGACCACATTTTTCTGCACTCATTTTCTCCCAGTCTGGAGCATCAGCTTGGAATCCGAACAACATTTTGCTTTCAAGTGCACTTCAAAGAACCTGCCGCTGATGACAGACATCCTCCCTCTGGTTTCCTCCTCGCTGCATGAGTTCTGGTCTCTCGGTACAGTTTGCATTTCTTTCGTGTGCAAATTTGAATCTCTACCTGACTTTCCTGTCGTCGTCCTGTTAAAATCAGGAGACACAAAAAAGGCCCAAGCTTAAAATAAACTGCTCTGGGGAGGAACACAAGCAGGAGATAACCGAGGCCGTCGTTGTTTCCACGCTCGCTACATGACTTTAAATGACATTGTTCTGATTTTGTGCATGGACCTAGTTAACTCTTATTAGAAATTGAATAATTAGAATGTTCTAATGTGAGTGAATTCAGTTTTGAGAAGGTTTTGTATCAGAACTCTGCATTTTCTTTCCACCCCATCTCATATTTCCACTCATAAAACCTGCTGCATGTTTGAAGAAGAGCAAATTTCCCTTCACCTGCTATTTATCAGTCATACATTCTCACTTGATGTGGTTCTGACTTATTTGTGCAAAATGAAGAGCAAAACCATTTAAAACGTTAGACCAACAGATGGCGCTCTGGAGCCTGGAATCAAAACCACCTGCCAGACTTTAAATAAAAAGTATGTTTCAGACATCTTTTTCTTTACTTTTCTCTTCCAATAGATCATGAAGATGTGATACAAGCAGTGAGGAAATAACCTCTATTATAGTCCACTGCATCAGCTCCAATAACAAGATGAATGTCTGCAAATGTAAATGCACATTAAATCATTATAGATGAATGTATTTGCTTCCGTCATCCTCTCATCTGTTAACCAGACTTTATGAATTCTATTTAAGTGCACGTTCCAGAAGTGTGACTCCACAGTACCAGCAGCTTTAAGTGTAATATATACATGACCTTTTAGATAAAATATAAACTGGGCTTTTGTCAGCAGCCTGTATTTGGCCACTTTAATAGTAAGTAAATGTTTCTGTGCAGCACGGCTTAAGATTTTGCACACGCACGCCACGAAAAGTCAAATCAAGGCGTTAACTAGTTTGCAAGTTACCAGTTAAAGCCCATTATTTTCATTACTGAGCCTGTTTTTCATTCATCCGGGGTAATACTTAACGGTCTCGACTGCTGTTGGTAAGAAGGGGAAAATTAGGAAACTGTTGGCAGAGAAAGAATTTGAAGATTAGAACACCATAAAATAAATAAATACTACTACAACCACCACCATCACCACTACTACTCCTATTATCACTACTACTACTACTCATGTTTATGATAATAATAATGATAATTTTGTCACCTGAAGACATAACCTCAAAACCTACATTCAAGTCACGTGAAATCAAGTCCCTGTTTTTTATATAGCACACTTAAAAAAAACAGACATTGCACCAAAGTGGTCTCCAATAGGGAATTAAGATGGCCATTACAAATTAAACCTTACAATATTATGTAAAATACAAATATATCTAAGCTGGAGACCCTACAACGGTATTTTTTACACACATTTCTCAGAGTAATTTAAATATTATTGTTAAAACCATCCAGTGTTATTTATTATGTACATTTGCTTAGGTAAATCAAACTACTGAGGTTAAGAATACAAATGTATCTGACTAATTTGCTTATGAAGGTTAAAGTCCTACTATGACATATATTGTAGGACTGTACTTAAACATGCCAGTTACAACAATACAATACGATATAACATATACATTTACCAGATTAAAGTCAACATTAAGGTCGGGTCCTTGCAATACAACACATATATGTTTACCTGACTAATTTAAATCTCAAAGTTACACCCTTACAATATTATATATAATACAAATATGTCTGATTAATTTGAGTATTTAGGTTAATCCTCTGCATTAACATAGGGTGGTGTAGAAATGCACAAATTAATTTAAGGCCCAAGAAAAAATATTTATTTGGTAAATTTACCTGAACAACAGACATAATACAATTAAGACCATAGAATCTTATTTTAAAAAAATAATAATCTGACTAATTATATTATTAAGGTTAAGACCCTTCAATAACTTTTATTGTAGAATTGTAACAAATCATTAATTTTTATGATAAAAAAACTACATATTTACCAGACTAAATTAAACATCATGGTTAAGACTCTAAAATATGAAATATAGTACAAATAAACTAACTCAAATACAAAAATTAAGAACATAAAGCAATAAATACTTCACCAAGGCACATGACTGATTTAAATATAAAGAATAAAACCCTACAAGATCACATATAATTTGTTTTTTGTTTTAAATTGTTTTCTAAAATCGTATTTTATAGTGTTTTATAGGGTTGTACAAAGTATTACAATACATGTCTTGTATGTCCAATAATGTGTATTGCTGGTGCATGTATATTGCTTGTATAATGACAATAAAGACTTTATATTTCTATTTCTTCTACAATAAAAACTCACCTGATTGTTTTGTTATTAAGGTTAAGACCCCACAAAATAAAGTTAAAATTTACCTGACTTCAGTTTCAAAGTTCAACATAAAGCTTCTATCTGAGAAAACAAACCTCATCTCAGGCACATTGCACAAACACCAGAGTTGTGGCTGGAAGTTACTTTTGGTCATGAGGGGCTCTTTAAAGCCCACCTAGCTTGAGGGGAAAACACTGGAGCTCTCCGAAGCTTCCTATTGGACGCTTCACGCCACTGCCTCTGAAGTGGGCGTGTCGCCACCGCTGATTGGCCGAGGCGGCTGTCCGTCACGGCTGCGCTCTCTCCTGAGCCCCGCCCCGCCTCTCCACAGGCTGGATGTCCGGCCCGAACGAGGATTTTCACGAAAACATCAACCGCAGACTGCGTACCGGAGCCAACCGGGGAGGGGGGACGGAGCCACGACGGACGGAACCGATGGATCCAGCGGCGTGACAGCCTCGTCGATGGCTGCTCGTAAAGTTGGATAACGGTGCTCGGCCTTAAACGGAGACAGATTTAACGGCGATGACTGCGGTGTCACTTGTTAGATAGATAGACACACAGAGAGAGGGGCCAAAGTGGACTCCCTCCCCTCGGTAGAGCCGATCCGCCCGATGGAGGCTGACGGGACCTTTGCAGAGAGCTCCAGGCCCGGAATGTCACCTGTGAAAGTCCACGCAGGAGGACGAGATTAAGAGGAAACGCACATCTGTCCGCGCTGTCGACGACTACTTCATCGGACAACTTCTTCTGGTGGAAAGCCCGCAAACAGAAAGTTAGCAGGTCGACGTTTAGCTGCTGCAGGAGGCGAGATGACCATCATAGATATCACCTAAGCAGAGGGTCGCCCTCCGCCGCAGGTAACTCCGGACAGGTGCGCTGCCTCACGGACTTTTACGCATCTGGTTCGATCCAGAAAACACACATCAGCGAGTTAAGCGGCTGATCTTTGGACTTTTTTTTCTTCTCCTGTCATCAAGTGTCGCCTTTCCTCTCAACAACCATGTCATTCAAAGACAATGCCTGTCGGAAATTTCAAGCCAACATTTTCAACAAAAGTAAATGTCAGAACTGCTTTAAGCCTCGAGAGTCACATCTGCTGAACGACGAGGACTTAAATCAGGTGAACTAATGCCTTCTTTTAAACTATATGTCCCACTTCTGATGTTGTGTTTACTCTTGTGTTATTGAAAAGGGGAAGGTCTGCTGTCACAACATTTATGTCATGTGTCAATAAACCATGAAGTGCAAAGGTTAGGTTAATTGGATGTAATTAGTTTCCAGCCCAAGGGCGCATATTGACCTTAATTCATGCAGATATACACCCAGCTCCATGCCCTGCAGCACAGTAGCAGCTATCGGAGCATTACTCAGTCATTTCTGATGCTCCATGTGGCTTCTTACCTCACTCATCACCACAGAGCTGTTTCACTATCAGTTAAGTTCACTCCCTGCTGTTTTGTGTCCGTGGATATGTTCCACTGTGTACACCGTGTCCAGCGGGGAGCACAGCTTAAGAGTGGTGGCCTGGGGTCATGCTGAACTCCGCTGACCCGTATTGTGGTCATTCCCTTCTGCTAAGCTGTTTGATATAACAGGTTAAGAGTCACCTGCATCCAGGTTTATCTCAATGATGGTGACCGACGCTGACGCAGCTCAGTGAAGACTCTGGTCATCCTAAAAGCTGCAGCAGAAGACGACTGGATTTCTCTTGACTGTCCCAGTTTAACAACACCACCTACCAGGTACTTACAGTGCAGTCTTGAGGTGCCTCCCCAGACAGTTTCAGCTCCATTATCACTTTGAGTCACCTGGTAGTTTTACAGCCATTCTCACCTGGAGGCCTGGGTCGTTAATGGACCATTAGCTGTGTGATTTGGGAGGTGAGAATAAACACCTGGGACTCTTGGATGAGGAAAACAGAAGCCTAGCTGTCTTCTGCTGAAGCTCTTAGGATTACCACGACAGGAATGGCTGAGGATCTGCGTTGCACCCTTTGGTCTCCACGGTGACTAAACACTGTTGGGACGCAAATTGTCTTAACTTTTATCGCCCTCGGTGGACTGTCTGACCCACTGGCCCCCGGCGTTATCCTGTCGTGACTCACTTATCATTACACACTGAACACCTGAGACGTTTCTAACATGTTGGTTAAAAAGTCCTTGTACAAGAAGAAGCTACAGAAAGCTCTCATTCTGTGCATATTTTCAGCCAGAACTCATTCTGTCATTCCTTCTTGCCTCGCCTTAAAGGCCCACGCTGTCGCTGCAGTGTAGTCCTTTTATGATGGGAGGCAATAAGAGGTTGGACATGAACACACACACCAACACACTCAAATGACTCCAGTTTAACCACTGAACCGGTGAAGGGTAAAAAATGACCTAGATTCATCTCGCTTGTTCGTCTGTCTCAGGGGGGGACTCGCCATCCTGGCTGCCGTCGGGTCATGTGAGGAGAGATGGGACGTTTTTCTAAACCGTGTTCAGTCTTATTGTTTCTTTCCAGCTCCAGATCTCTCTTCTTTCTTCATCCTTGCTGCCCTTTCCTTCCCTCACATTCATCTCTAAATATGTGGATGCTCCTCTTGCAAGTCCCTTCAAACCCTTGGCGGTCCAAGGTTATGGTTGGGACTTATGAAAATTCCTGTTATGTCATTTTGTTTACAGAGCAACTCAGCTGAGAAATGTGCTGCGCCTCATGCAGTCAAAGAGGATTTTATGGTGGATTATACTCGGCCTTACATAGGATGAAGTTATGACTGTAATCAAACCCCCCTGATAGAGAGACCCGGAGGTGCCAGGCGACTGTAAATGTCAGAGCTTTTTGACTCGATTGGCAGGCTACTGTTCGGTAGAGCGCAATTGAATTACGTAAGGCACTTAATTTGTTAAGCTCTTTAAGTGTAGGTAAGGTTTGAGTGTAAACATCAAGTGAAATCCGTCCTCCTGTACACATAATAAGCATGCAGTGGTTAACGCGGGGACTTTACTTTGGCTCGGCGTACAAGTGCTGACTACTAGAGTGGCTCCGGTTCAAGTATGTACCAGAACAATTTAAGAAAGACTGCCAGGCCGACTTGCATTTCTCAGTTTGAATTGCAAATGTGCAGCCACGAAAGCTTCCCCGAGATGTGCGCTCTCTTCTGCTCCTCATCCGCTGTTTTTCTTTGCTAACTTCTGCCTCTCGCTTCCCCCTCCACCCACCAGTCCACCCACTTAGAGGATCAGAGGGAAAATCATGTGTGTTAGCCTTTCCTCCTTTTTTTTTTTTCCCAGGGCAGCATGGTGCTCTGGATTAAAGCCAACTGGAGAATGCAGCCTACAGTCAACTTAAGGCCGGCTAGTGGCTAATGCACACCTTCCTTTAACTAAAATAGCAACGCCATCTGAAACTAAAAGTGGTAGCTCCCAGTTATATCTGCAGCGAGTTACAATGTGCATAATTGAACAGTTCATCAATATGTTTGTTTTCCTCCCACCAGGCGAAGCCTATATACGGAGGATGGCTGTTACTGGCACCCGAGGGAACAAATTTTGACAATCCCTTACACAGAACTCGGGTAAGTGGTTGCACAAGTGTTTACCTTTGCAGGACCTGAAATTGATTATGTTTGGAACAGAGTGCAGCTCTTGTTGTCCTTCTTCATGAAATCCCTGAAAATGAAACGCTGAGACCATTTGTTTCACCCGCGGTTGTCATCTCCAATAATTAATAGATGTGTTAACCCTCTCTGAGTGCTGCACAGATTCTGTCAGGTAAGTGAGGGGAAAAAAAAAAAGCCACGACTAGCTTTTTCTTTAATTTTAACCACGCATACTGCCGTTCATTTGGCCAAACAAGAGGTCCTGTTGTGGCTCCAGTAGCTGCTCCATGGAATCAGCAGATTCCAGTGGGAGGCTTAGTCCTCTATCAGAAGAAGCCTCATTGTCAGGCCGTAATGAGCCTAATATTGACTTTATTTCACGACTCGTAGCATCATGTAACGGGAGCCTTGCCTTTATCAGCTCCCAGATTATGCTTGCGGTGTTGCATCCCAGAAGAGGACTGGGTGAGAATGTGGGGGGAGGAGAGGGAAGGTCCCAGTTCTCACAGCCACGCTGATGGCTTCCATATGGGTTTTTGGTGAAAAAAAAAAAAAAAAGCACCTCTGGATCTACTATCAACTTCCAGCTTTGACATCATCACCGATACGCTGCGGCCCGTTCTTACAGGCAGCTTTTTCTGCCGTGGGGGTATAATTGGTGGCTTGTATGTAGTGCTGAGGTGAGCAGATTGGTCAGGGTTTCGACCGACCGACAAACAAATAGCGGAGGAAAAAGTGCTGATGTGTTGGATGAGTCATGCTGTAGGACCACTTTAGTTTAACAAGTTGCGCGTCTGTGGCTCTGTTTCTGTGATACTGAGGTCGGGACGCTATAATTGATCTTCTGTAAGTCACATATGTCTCTCGCCTTTTTTTTTTTTAGCCTCTGCGCATAAGACTGCAGTGTCCCTTCCCTGCAGCCCTTTCGAGACCTTCCAGCGCCCCTTTTAGGTTACAGAGCAGCTCTCAATATTTCATGGATTGTGCTCAGTCGGAAATTCAACACTGAGACAAAACGGTGCATTAAGATAAGAGGAGGGTGGGGAGGCGTGTGCAGATGAAGCCAACGAGGCTGGAGATCAATGGAAACTGTTAGCATATCATTTGCACAAAAATCGACAGAATTACCATCCAAACCGGGAGATAAAATGACCCCCCTGTGTGTTGAATGTGAAGTGTTGTTTTCCGAAATCTGATATTCTGAGTTCCTTTTAACCTTGTGCAGAATGACACGATGCTGTCGGTTCACAGGTGCATGTGCTTATCACGTATATACCGCAAGAGAGATGCGATCATGGTTGTCGAAGGTGTAATCTTGTGTTTATAGTTATTTTTGTGTGTGTGATCATACCCACATTCAAACTGAGATGTCTTATCAGTGGTTTGTATGTTGGCATTCTTTCCTCATAGAGATCTCCTGCAGTTGATGCATGCTGATAAAATGTTGTCCGGCTTGTCTTATTGCTCGAAAAGCCTTTTGATGTGGTTATGCAAAAAAGTGTTCCAGTGAACTGGGGTTGCCGCTTCACGGCGACTGTTTTGCCAAACGCCTCGCTCGCTCTTCGCGTATTTCGTATGCGTGCAGCCCATCGGCCAAGTCTTCATAACCTGACGTGTAGGTCGATTTCAAGATTTTAATTGGAGCATTTACGAATCCAGTAAAACTCTCTGGCTTTACGAATAGCAAAACCTCTCGTACATCAAACAGTATTTATTAAAATGGCACGATGGAGGCTGGCTAATGGATAAGAAATGATTGCTTTCAAACATGTCATAAACTTTTGCACATTTTCTCATGTTGCCTATAAAAAGGATGATGTGGTTTGCTGCGTAGATTGATACTGATATCTATTATGTGACCTTGTCAGTAATCCAACAACTGCTCTTTTTTTTAAATTCTTTTTACAGAAATGGCAGAGACGGTTCTTCATCCTCTACGAGCACGGCTTACTGCGTTATGCTCTGGACGAAATGGTGAGTTTGAAGCTTTCTTTTAGCTGTTGCTGATTTCTGTCACCTCTGAATAAAAAAAATCAACAGATGATGGCTACCCTTGGAAGGTGGCCTGGATTGATTGTTAGCTGGTGGCAGGAAATATTCTAACAAATAAAAAACCTTTCCGTCTACCTGTGTTTTAATGGCTTACGTTGCAAATTCATGCATTGACTTAAGCTTGATTTCTGCTTTGAACCTGTATCGTAGCCTGATGTGCACCTTCCTGGAAATGTAACTACACATTGGAGCAACAAAGACTAATCCTTCTATGACACACATTGTCGTATGTAAAAGGCTGTAACTGTGTCTGACTTGCTCATAATGCAAATGCAAGAGGCAGCATTGTGCCATTGTCGCCAAATGTGGTTTCCATTGTCTGTGTATAGACTGAACTGAGTTAGAGGAAAGTTATTGTTCAATGTTTATTGGCTCCAACTCCATCATGATTTATTCCATTTTAATTGAAGCATATTAAGAAACCCAACACAGTGGCACACAAACGCCACAGTTAACGAGTGTTTTGGTGCCACAAACGCACCACCGCACAAATGCTCACAATGTTACGTGTCTATGGCAAAAGATCTGTTTACGTTCAACTGTTAGTATAAATCAAGCTTTATTGGCACGTGTTCATGACATTGTCATATCTTACTTCCCTCTCACACTCCTCTTGTTACAGAATTTCTGTTTTGATAGTTTTAACCCACTTAACTTACGCTCTCATTTCTCTGCATTGACCCGCTGGTAATGAAACTCACAATATAAAGTCTATCAGTGAAAGGGAAGTCATGTTTTCCTCTTTAACACTTAGAAGTGTTGAGTTTGCATTACCAACAAACAGAACAACACACAAAATCACATGACAGGAAGGCTTTTTATAGAAAAAGTTAAAAAAAAAAAGAGTTCAAATTAGGTCCTTTTTTAAAAACGATAACCTGCCTTCACGTTAAGGATGTTGCATAAAACAAGGAAGACATATTTTGCTAATTAAAAATCAACAAGACACCTGTAAATGCAGTTATTTTGTTACCAGCATTTTGGCCTGAGGCGAACATGGAGAGCAGAAGCCGGCTCGGTGCCAGCTGACCAGGAGTCACCTCCCCGTTGACACCGGGGCTTTTCTTTGCACACGACAGAGTATTTAGTGAACGTGCGAAACACTAAGCGAACTAGCGCAGTAGTGTCAAAAGGAACGAAGTGACACCACACGGGGCTGATACTAAAAGTCATGTGCCGAGCTGTGTGTGTGTGTCTGTGTGTGTGTGTGTGTGTGTGTGTGTGTTTGTTTAAGTGGCTTACACACTTGCACACTTATTGCGCAAGAGCCCTGTGGCGACTTTGTGTTTCGAGAGAAAAACTGGAAAAACCGCTCAGCTCCAGGAGGATTGATACCTCCTGAGTGATCTGCACCGCTGTCACTAGTCGAATATCTGGATTCATTATAACATGAACAGGAAGACCGACTGTCTCTCCGTCGAGCTGATGTCTTTGTAGGCCACTTGTTTCACTACTGCACAGGTTGTCGGTTTCATATTCGCTGCAGCATGTGGGCATGCTGGATATTGATTGACCCAAAGCGGTGCTCGACGGCTTTTTTTTTTTTCCTCCACGTGGGATGTGCTTTGAAATGAGGTGAAAGCAGAAGTAGTTGAAACAGCTCTTGCTTTATTGCTTTTGACCTTTTTTTCACATTGCATCTGGTGTTCTCCAGCAGGGTAGAGAGATACTGAGAGGTTTTATGTAATAGAAGCAGCAGGAGCTGGAAGTGTAATTTTGTTTTCTTGTCTGTACCTTTCACAGTCGCCGTGGAAGTCTGCTACGTTAAACGCTTTGCCTGCTATTTGCATAGCCTCTACGAGAGCAGGGAAGATTTTTGTTAGCTTTTGTTTTACTCGTGCAAGAATCACCGTCCTGGCCTTCTTCAAAACCGGAGCCGATAAATTGTGTTTGTGAGGCGTTGGTGGAGGATGATCACGAAAGAAAGACGGATGATGTGTTTACAGGAGACAAAGGAAAGAGGCGGACGTCCTCCTTCCATTCATTGTTCTCTCTGGATGTCACTCTTCATCTTTTCATCTTCTTTCTGAATGGAGGATCAAACAGAGAGGGGGGTAGTCAGGGTCTGGGGATGGAAATATCAAGTGACACTAAATATAGAGCCTCACTTGTCACACAGGGCGCATCAGAATAATCGTTGCGTTGAAAAGAAACAGCGACACAAACACGGCTAATTGGCTACATATCTGGCATTAGCAGTGTTTCACATTCATTAGTATTCATATTACAGTTGCACTTAAAGTACATAAAACGTCCATTTAAAGCCGTATTGCGAGTGACATCAGGTCAAATTTAAAGGTTGCCAGCTTTCGCCAGCGTAACATTCATCCAGACCACATCAGAACCCCCATCTGAGAGCACTAGTTAGGGCTGGAGATGAGGAGGTGCCCCTCTGTTTTCCTCCCAGCCTAGTTTTTATGGCTCTTCTGTCTTGTGTTAACCAAACCCAGATGGGTTGTGGTTCCAACCTGCAGGATGTGGCGCGGCTCTGGGGGAAAAGGAATGGGTTAGCAAAAAAAAAAAAAACCTAGGGGAGATCACAGCACTCGGGAGTCATTGATTTTGGGGTTGCCCACCTACAGTGAACACCCAACACGAGACACCGCCGCCGTCATTTAATGCTCAGAGCAGCGGCGGCTTTGATGAGCTGTTGGGCGCATGAGACAAGTGGTAGAAAGGAGAAAATGTAGCTGCAGTCGGAGAGAGATGAAGAGAAACATGTCAGTGATTGGAAGGATGGAGAGGGTGAAGAGCTGAAAATGTTGGCCTGCATAGAACATGTGCTGCCATGCAAAGCTAATGCGTCAGTGCAGCTTTACTGGACTGTTCTTGGCCTCCAGAGACGGGAGTTGAACCGTGTTGTGTCTAAACTAGTTCACTGACTAAGCATTGTGTCATTTATTATTGGTAAATATAGAGATGAGATAAAATTACTCCCAAAGTCCACTCTCACTTCAGCCGCATATACAAGCTTGATTTTTTTTTTTTTTCCCCCAAAGAGGACCCAAACACAGTTATGTCGGGGCAGCGTTGCCGAGGCAACATGTTTTGTTCCTTTGTCCGGCAACAGTTGACCGTGGTATGTGTTAACATGGGGCAGATTCTCTCGCTGCCTCTGTCCTGACTGCAGCGATACAGGACAGAACGCTCTGGAAGCGAAGCACAAATGTGTGGGCTGAGGTCGTCTCTCGGCTCAGTCATACGGCGAGCAACGGTAGCTGCAGACAAAAAACATCAGACGCTGCATCAGAGCGATTGTGCAACGCAGGATCGGCACAGAGTCGCAGTTTATGCTGAGTGTTTGTGCTGAGCGGAGTGCGTGAGTAAGTGAGCGAATGCACCTGGACCGAGGGTGCTTGACTGCAGACGCCATGTCAGGAACAGGTGCTGCAAGGTTGGAGAAACCTCAAATCCGACCGCAGATAGCACCGCCGAGAGAACAGCGGCCTTAAGGGGAGTAAGAATTAATAAGAAGAAGATGAAGGAAAATGACAAATGACACAAGTGATGTGGCGAACACACATGAAGTCATTATCACCTCGGGGTGAGGGCAGGTACGTGGGTGAGAAGGACTCTTCACAAAGCCACTTTGGTGACAAAAAGATCAACACCCACGCTCTAATAACTGCTTCACTCTACAGTCTTAAATACCGCACACAACACCCACCTCCCACTGACCAGGCTTTGACCTAATTGTCCTCTTATGGGGCTGAACAATTAATCGATTTCAAATCACAATCTGAAACAATTAGCAAATCACAAAGGCTGCGTTTTAGGATGCACATTATGCGGCGTATCTGGCCCAGGGTTTGTGCTGTCACAACTTCATGCCGTCCTCCTCAACTCATGCTTTTGGTGCTATCTCATGTATGAATCACATATTTGAAATGAATATTGAACAAATCAAATCACATATCTGCTAGAAAACTAACCCTAAATCTTACTGATGCACAAACTATTCCGCTCATTGCTCATCTTGTCATCTCAGTGTTCTTCTTTGCAGCGTCTCTGTTGTGGTGTCTGAGCTCACGCTGAATCACAAGGCTTTTGCATTAACCCTCAGAACCCCGAGCAGTTTCTGGCTCTTTTTTTATTTTTTATTTGCCCCAGTCACATTTTTACTCACTGCGGCCTCATTTCTCATTGCAATACAAAGTCCTGCACCTCTATGGGAAATGCCTTTAGTGCAGTAAATCATAAAAAAGAAAAGACCAATCTTGTATTTCTTTAATCTGCTATAGATCTTTTACATGTGTGATTAGTTTCCAAACTTGTCTTGTCTGTGCTCTGTAAACATGACCTGCAGTTCAGCTGAAATGGATTTTTTTTCCCTTGCTTTTTGTTTTCGGTTGGTTCCTTATTGGTTTTCCGTTTTTGCCAGGAGGGTTGGATTTTTTTTTTTTTTAGAGAATCTGGTTAAAGCAAGTAATTTATTTTTGGCTAATTTTTAAAGGAGATTTTACTTTGATGAAATGTCGCAATTTTAAGCTTTGATTTGAACCAGCAGTACATGGACCTTTAAAATCAGACTATTTTTTTCCAGTTTTTACAGCTTTTGGCTCTCATAAATGCAGTAATTTTAGTGAATTTAAAAAAAAATAACATGCTTTTAAACCAGCCTGTGGTTTTTGGGGCTCAGTAATAATCTTTTATTACTGTTGAACGTGTGAGCGATATGTCCTCCCTTTATTTGGAGGCCTTTATGGGGAAAAGACTTGTTCTCATGCTGGTCAGTTAATGTATTTTAGCTGAGAGTGAACGAGCCCACTATACCTGCAAATAAAGTGAGGCTACCTATTGAGTTGCAGCGCACAAAAGAGCCATTCAGGGACGGTTGGATTGCATTTGCTTTTAGATTGCACTGACTGCAGTTGACTGTCTGTCTCACAGCCGTGTCCCTTGTTATTCCAACCAGAACATGA